CTTATTGACACAACACTACTCTCAGTGTTTGTGTCTTAACCCTGCATCAATGAATAGAGACCACTGATTAGTTTTGCACAGTAGACGTAGAGTGAAGCTAGCTCTACAATATGCAATTCAAAATTCCGCAAGAGCTTCAAAGGCAAAAGAGGTATAGATGTTTGAGTAAAAGGTACATTAACATTGAGTCGCCTTCAAAATCGTAATATTGTTTGGTCCAAAAACAATATTTTGAGAATGTACAGCGCAAATGGTACGAATTTCTTAAGGAATACTAAAAACTAGACGAAGTCCTCATACGCAAAATTTGACTGAAACCGAGGAATACTAACAAAGTTACTACGTTGGGAAGTTAGGCTCAAAGACTTTTGGGACATCCTGTACTTGCATTAGCACACTTACATATGAATATAAGCATAAACACACATAAAGTACACTCAATATAGACATATGTACGTGCACATATGTCTATCGCGTGTGTGTGTGTGTGTGTGTGTGTGTTTGTGTGTGTGTGGTGTGTGTGTGTGGTGTGTGTGTGTGTCTGTCACGAAATTCATACAGCGAGTTCCAGCAAATGCCTTGAGCTGAGATGGTCATAGCACCTTACCAGCATCTAGGCCCATCACACAAAATTTCGTGCGGATCCGATGAGTTGATGCTACAAAAATGTGCGTCAAAAGGACCCACACGGCTTTAAACAGGCAAAACTGAGTTCAGATTTGGATTTCTGCGGCCATGATTTTCCTGACAAGTGTTATTTCGGAAACTAAGTTTTCCAGCTCAATCAATACCTTTCCTTTCACTGGCGCACTCAAATTTTGCCACTGTGTTGGTTTTGACATAAGCTACAAGCGCAGCTGCTGTTCTGCCAATTTCTGACGTCGCGGTGAGGGTTACGGTAGGTATATGGTACGAAGGGAAAAATTATAAAATTCGACAGATTCGGCTGAAACTTGGCATAGGGAGGAGGGTATCCGACATGCTGGTTACGAGAACGATACTGAAGTTGCGCCATAGGCGCTTTTTTGTAAGGTTTCTGTAGGTGTACGATATAGGCTCCCATCCTAAACAAGCAAAGAGGCGTTGATTCAATAAATAAATATGATGTTCGTGTTTAGCAGGTCAAAGAACCTTAATATGTAAAGACTCGGAGAATTTTGTGGTTTTGACTCCTTAGCCATTGACGGCTGTCCCCAGCAACCTTGCGTACAGCAACTCTTTCAAATTCGTGAGGGCGCCGAATCTCGGATTGGCCCTGAATTTTATTTCTTTATTTGGGTGAGCCGAATAATTCAACCTCTGGCAACAACTAGTACACGATTCCGGATGATGGTCTAGACTGCTAACAACTTCACTTTGCCTCAAAACCCCAAAAGTTTTTAAAATTTACTAGCTTTCGCTAAAAAGAAAGAAAAGCTAGAAAAATGAATTTTCTAATTCGTTTTCAAAATTCAGGCAGCTTAAATCGGTTGTAGCTCACACTACTCTCTACATACTGTCCAAGTTTGAATGCGCTACATCCAAAGAGAGTTGAGTTATGAAAGTAGTTAAACTTAGTTTCCAGCTTAATAAATCTGCGGCCCATAAATTCTAGCTGAAAAAGTGCTCAAAAGTCTGCTTTTTTGCGAAAACAGCGCCAAAAAGTGGTAATCGCGTCAATAGTCGATTTGGCAAGGTTTTACCTATAAATCTGATGAGTTTTTTGCATGGAAATATAGCCAAAAGTGATATTACCCTTGTGACGACTACCAAGCCAAAACAAATTCAGTATTCCATTCAAATTCGCAGGTTTTCCTTTACGAATGAATTTTCTTTCTCAAATCACCGATCTTACATGGAGATGCTTCAAGAATAAACAGTTGTTCACAATTCTGTGATGTTCAATATCGCGTAGTGAGTTCCAAAATCATCTATGCGACTACCAAGCAGCCGCTATGACCAGGTGGAGCAAGGTTAGATTCCACTCCTTAATCAGCCAAACCCTCTACCTTCCGAAAACAGTAAATTGGTACCAGAGTAATCTGGGAGGATGAAAGCACTGACTTGGTAATCGGCTGGCCCCTACAAGTCACCGCAAAAGGCTCGCACGCATTCAGAAACTTCGTCGACTGGATGCGTTGGCTTATGCCCGCAGAGAGTAATAAGAAAGTCTTGACCACTAGCCTCCATTAATCATAAGGCACTTTCTTAGTTTTTCTCAACATTTGATCCAAGCACGACTCACACATGCGCGACGCTGGACAATGGAGAAGCGATAACTTTTCTATCTTTGACTATTTAATAACAGCATATAACAGCGTTTGGAACCAGCTGCAGACAGGAAGATTTTGAAACAAAGCCCGATTCAATTGAAAATTTTTTGTGAAGTCTTCTTCTTTATATAACAAGAACATTAAGAATGGGAAATAGAAAGGCAAGCTGATCCAACTTTATTTGCATAGAGCACGCTTTGCAACCGGAGCAGATTCCGCCGCCAACAAAAATTTTTACAGAGCTACAAAAACCCTAAAGGAAAGATTATCAACCCGTTTTTTGCTTGTGAGAAAGCTTTTACGGGGAAGGTTCAATAGGCGGAAAAAAGGTATGAGAACTTGTGTGAGCAAAGGGCCGGAACCCAGCTGCAGCAGTTCCAACTAATTCGGAAGAAGTTAGGCACGACTTTCATTCACATAAGTTTTCACATTTGGGCTATAGTTCGAGTTCCCTCACGCGCATGGGCACACCAAATTTATTTTCGTGCCATTGCGTCTGGTTATAAACAATGAATTGCGGGTGGGTGACATGCGGGCGGCATGCTTGCGGCTCTTCTCCGCCCCGGACCGCGCAAAAGATATCCTCTTTGCTTTTCGCACAGAAACGAAATCCACTTTGACCAGGTTCCAGTTGTGCCGAACCCTGACTTCGCATGGCAAGTAATCAAATGGAGTAACTAGTAGAATGTAAGCTTACCCTCCTATGAGCTTACCCTCCTTTCATAAGTTCTATGAACCATAACCATATCTGAAGAGATATCTTGCTACTATGTAGCAAGATATCTCTTCAGATTCTACATGTTGCGCAAGCATTTTGATAAAGCCAACTTCACTCAGCAGCCTCCTCTTTGCTTTTCCCACAGAAACGAAATCCAGCTTGACCCGGTTCCAGCTGTGCCGGATCCTGACTTTGGATGGCAAGTAATCAAAGGGAGTAAGTAGTAGAATGTACTACGAGCTTATCTTTTTTTGTAAGTTCTGTGAACTATATTGTAGCAAGATATCTCTTCGGCTGCTAAGTGAAGTTGGCTTTATCAGAATGCTTGCGCAAAATGTAGACTCTGAAGAGATTGTAAACAGCTCCAAGATCCAAAGTACAATCAGAGCGTTCAATTATCTGACAAGTGAGTGTGAACTTTGACTGTAAGCAGTGTAGGCTCCACCGTTCTCGCAACGATTTTAACACGTTGGCGACAACGATTTCTAATTGTCTGCCTTGTGGAGCACTTCCCACGAAAAAGTTGAGAATTTTCAGCTAAAATTACGCAGATCGTCATTTACAGTGACCGACTAGGTAATTTTGAGAAGCAGAAAAGAAATGCGGTAGTAATCACTAGAATCAGTGCGCAACAAAACTTCTGAAAAGAATGTACTTCGAGATAGTAGTCATTTTGACGAAATTTAAGCCATGACCCACCGTGTGGGTCACATTGTCCCACCTGGCCACGTGGCAGTCATTCCATGACCCAGCATGTTGGTTCACGTTGTCTTCAATGTGTTAAAACGTTCGAATCAACTCATACCCCTCTCCATACTTGACGTATCGGGGTCCATATTTTATTAAGAAGTTAAGGAAAAACTTTTCCAAGTTGTAGAATATTAATTCTACTTGGTTCACTAAAGCTAATGAACAAGAAATTATTTCTGTCACTCATTGTAGTTCTTCAAGACACTGTGAGTATCACATACAATACCGCTCTCAGAACGTGCAAAATTTCCGTGAATGTCGCGGAAACCCCGGAATTCCGCGAAGGATCGCGAAATTTTCGGAATTTCGCGACATTCCGAGAATTTCGCGGAATTTTCGGAATATCGCCATAACTTGCTTCGGAATGCATAAATTCTGGATCTGAAACAAGGATTATACTCAGCTCATTAAGGCGAATCTTTTGGTACCTTGCCTTACCGTAATTCTCGGGGCACGATTGGTGCACGATCTGAGATGAATTTTGCATTTTGGGAGAGAGGACGTGGGTGTACGGCAGCAAGTGAATCCTTTTGCGATTTTTTTGAAATTCTAGGGAGGGGGGGGGGGGGGGGGGAGTAATCAGTGGTACTGGGTGTGGTTAGTTCTAAAATATGCGAACATGCCGTGATGATGCCGTCGATGTTGCTTTTCCCCTCTTCTGTTTGTTTAGTAGCTTCAAGCACCTATTTATTACTAGAAGGGGTGGGTTCGAGTACAGGACACGAATATTGTGTTCACCTCCCCTCTCCCAAAACGCAAAATTCATCTCAGACCGTGCACCAATCGTGCCCCGAGAATTACGGTAAGGGAAGATACCAAAAGATTCGCCTTAATGAGCTGAGTATAACCCTTGTTTCAGATCCAGAATTTATGCATTCCGAAGGAAGTTATGGCGATATCCCGAAAATTCCGCGAAATTCCCGGAATGTCGCGAAATTCCGGAAATGTCGCGATATTCCAAAAATTTCGCGACATTCCCGGAATGTCGCGAAATTCCGAGAATTTCGCGATCCTTCGCGGAATTCCGGGGTTTCCGAGACATTCACGGAAATTTTGCACGTTCTGAGAGCGGTATTGTATTTCAAGTTGGAGTTTGTTACAATGTAGAGCTTTTTACAACGTTTGCAAATGAATTTTCCTTCAAAAACTTTTTAAAAGTCGCGTCGTTGACTTATTTTATGAGGGTGTGACCAGTTTATAAACTAAAAATTGAGCCCATCTTTCATCTGTTTCTTCTTTTGTTTGAGTCACCTGCTTTTTGATAAAAATTTACTGACACTGTTATAAGCACATTCTTTACTTCCGGCAATAATAGAACTAATTACTTTAAAGACTATCAAAGAAATCCACTTCAAATTCCGAGGAAGGCTTTCGCGACAGCGAGGGATTCGTCAAAAGTCATCTCCTTCAAAGAGGCGGCTTTCTCACGTAAATCCGAGTACAAAGCTGTGGATCTAGATCAGCATTTCAATAATGAACATTTTGGTTCTGGCAAGCGAAAAATCAAATTTCAAATGATTTCAAGTGGCACTTACAGATATCGCTCTCCAAAACTGTTGATAGCTGTTACAATAAGCTTGCCCTTGTTCTCTGGTCGCTTTGCTAGCTAGAATCAAATAAATCTTCGAGTGCGGACAAGATCTTGATGCCCAATTCACCGCTGCATTATCGCAGCAATGTATCTAGGTATCCCAAAAGCATCTACCACACAATTTTCCACTGCTAGTAACTCCTTCCCCACTCGGTCTTTTGCTTAGCGTCAAGTATCAAATTAGATTTGCGGTATGGGGTCAATCACCCATTATTCATAACCGTAAGATTGTGATGGGAATTTACGACATACAGCGCTATTGCGAGCCTTGCAGAGAAGTTGAAACCCCCCCCCCCCCCTCGAAGTATTGTGCAGCAGTGCTTCGGGACATGCTTGATTTCATCAGACAGATTTTTACGATTTTTGAGGATGTCAAATAATTTTACATTGTTATAAAACACTGGAAAAACGTTGTTACGGTTTACTGGCGAAAGTGAAAAAACCTTCGGTAGGGCTTAGTATTCTCTAGCGACTCAATTCAACCTATTGAATTTGCAGTATATACTATATCTATTTTAGAGCGATATGTAGTCATTAATGGCTGAAACCCTCTTCTAATCCCACAGTGATAAAGAGCCTAGATGATTCGTTCTACTAACCTAAATTAGGGCCTGCTTTCCTGGCCTGAAAAGTAAGTGAAACTAAGCAAAAGACTTTGTAAAAAGAACGTGATCAAGATTCAAAATGTATGTACTTTGGGACACTCTGTATATCGTTGCAGTATTGAGTGATGCAAATTAATTCTTCTAGAAAAAGTGAGGAACTTATGAAGAAAGCAAGTTTGCGTTATTAATAAGATTTTTCTTGTACTATCAGCTTTGTTCAGCATGCTGCGTCTCTCCCGCGCGCGTGCTCTCTGATTACTACTTACTACCTAACCTTGATTAGGACACAAAACCCCGCCTTCGAACCGCCAAACCAGTTGAATCAAAGGTACATAACAACCTGTATAGCTGCACAGACGTTGGCACCGGACGAGATTCCACCCAAAATCGCTTCTTCCTTCGCCAGCCGCTTCGCCATCGCAATGGCATCGTCAGAATGTACACGAAGAGCTTCAGTGAAAAGCGTGCGATCAAGGCATTCTGGGACTATACCAATACCCATACCTGTAAGGTAATAATTCAAGAGAACAGGTCGGATAGAAATAAATTCTACCTTGAATCTTGTGCGGACTATGCTTCATGCCGTTAATGACAGATGATTCAACAGGTTCAACCGGGTAGCACTGCAAGAATATTTTGAAATTGCCCTTATGAATTATGAACCGTACCTGAATCTTAGGGTTCTTCTCCTTCAGATAACGTGCCGCACCTGAAAATGTACCAGCGGAGCCTACTCCCAAGACCAAGATGTCGACCTAAAAGATGAAACGCAGAAGATTTTTTAATCGAAAATGTTTGATTCCTTCTATGTCCAGAAATCACCCTTATTCAAAATCATTGTTGATTGCAAGTGAGGTCACGGATCCTCATAACGAGTAGAAGAACGAACACCTTTATGAGGCCCGCCTCCGCGGACTACTGGTCCTAACACGATGCACCAACAGTAGAACGAAAGGACCGCACAGGCTGTGCCTAGTTAAGGTACTTGTTCCTCTTCCCCTCATAACCAATTGGCTTCGCTATTTTTTGCATTTCTTCCTTGGGCGAAATCTATGAACTTGCACACTGGTTTTCCGTTCCTTAAGGCTGGATAATCTTTCAAAATACATAACCATAATTTCATGGCGTACAAAGGAATATTAGACCGCTCTTAAAGTTTGCTTTTTTCTTTCATCTCTCAACTTTCCTCAAAGTCAATGATTTGGAAGAGTTGATGTACCTATAAAAGGAAATGTGTGGTTTACAAAAATGTTGTGAGCAGCCAAAAAAATTACTGATTTACAAGAAGAGGTCTCAGTTCAGTGAATTTGATAGAACAAAATTTTCATACTTCAATGTTAGTAGATAGTGTCTAAAGGAAGCAGAACAAGCTCAAAAAAGACTAGTGGTTTGCTAGAGAAAGCATTATAAATGCCAAAAATTTGAAATTTGCAAATTTTTCAGCTGTTCAAAATTTTCTTTCGTCCAAAAACTTGCAGACATTGGTGAAAGTTTGTGAAAAGCTGCAAATAAAAAAAAACAGAGAATAGACTTTGCTCTGCCTAATGCTCAGACGCTAATTTTTCAATTTTGTATCAAACGAAAACATTGGTGTAATTCGAACAAAAGCATTAATGACGCAAACATCTGATAAACTTTCAAAATGCAACTTTTTGCGTCTACCAAGCGAAGTAGTTGAAGTGAGCCAATGCATCGCTTTTTCTTTGTTCTCATCTTATGAGTATCTGTAATCCCAAATGCATTGATTTCGAGAGATGAAGTGCACTGTTGTTCTTCTATAGTTCAAATGTTTGGGACGGTTTCTCGGTCGATTAGCTAGGCAGAATTCATTTTGAAATGCGGGCTACATTATCGTAAGCACAGCAGAAATCTGGAGAGGGGACACTACGTCGCCGATAGGCTCCACTCCGCGCGGACAGCTGGTACAAATCTCTATAATGTCTGTAAAGTGTGGAGCTGCGTACTCTATCGCATGTCCGTGGGGACCACCTCCTTTCGACGGCATATAGTCCTCCACCCCAGAAATCTCCTCCCCAATTCCGTTAGTGGAAGAACAGTACTTATTTGTTCGTAACTTGCAACTTTTCCTGCCTAGTATATCCAGTGTTTTCGCAAATCTTACTTTTCCATTGGTCTGTTTCCAAATTTCCGGTCCTGTCGTTTTGTAATGTGCTTCCGTATTTGCAGGATCCGAGAACTAAGTAAGCAGGTTTTTTCAAAGCAGTTTTTATTTTCTACTATGGAATGCAGTTGTTAAATTACCTGGTTCATAACATATGAGTTAGGAATGACCTTGGCTAACTCATATGCTCTTTCAATGGCACCTCTTACAGCTATCGAGGGATCTGTCAGCACCACCTACAATGAATTTTCATTTTCAGATGACATTAGAATCAATATTTACTTGAAAAAATTGAGAAACCTCCAGAAGCAGTATAATACCTCAGCTCCAAAGGCCTTAATAAGAGTTCGTCTCTCGACGCTCATTGATGATGGCATAGTGAATATAACCTTGTATCTGAAAAATCATACGAATGATTACATAGCAAACACATCTACTAGTATAGAATACCCTTTCAGATTCGCACAGAATGCCAGTGCAATACCAAAGTTTCCGCTTGTTGGTTCGATCAGTACTGTCTTTCCTGGTGTTATTTTCCCTGCTTTCTCAGCTGTTTCAAGCATATTGAAGGCGATGCGGTCTTTTACTGAGCCAACTGGGTTCATGTACTCAATCTTTGCCGCTGAAACAAATTTCCGTGATATGTTTTGTTTTCAATCTTACTATTAGTCTTTTGACTGGTTTCAGTGATAGTTGGAGGTTTTTTTGACTGTGAACATCATAGCACGACAACTTTGCAATTGGAACCTATACCTAAGTTCGCTGAAACAAGTCCATCCTTCTCGAAATTAGCTCGAATAAGGGATTTTCGGCCTTCGAAAGAGCCACATGCCTCTGAGGGACCGGAAGTTATCCGAAATTGCATTGAGATTGGCGGCTGGAAGGCGGAGCTTCGAAGCCTAATCAATGCTAGAAAATGATCAGAAAGCTTGCTCGCGAAGAAACGCAGACTGCGTCGCGGATGCGAGTGGTCGCCTTCCAGCCGCCATTCCCGTTGAATCAAAGGGTAGAATAGTCGCTAACCTATAGTTGCGTCCAATCCTTTTGTGACATGGCTCAGCTTGAGAAGTGGCGTATTACCGATGAGTTCTGCAGGAGATGTGAGCATAGTATCGCGCGACATCTTGCTCAAAAGATCATGATGAATTTAAAAATTACGCTGTGCGACAGGGACACAGAAGAGAGTCGAACAGCCGTGTGAAAGATTCCAAAGTCTTTCATTTAAAATGTTTAGTATAGATTGCTTACGATTGTAGCTTAGCTAAGCTACGTAGGTTCTCGTAAGCTTTCATTGCAGAAATTTATAGAGATTCCAATATGCAGGCATTTTATGTATATCCTTTACTAAATCGTCAACATCTGTCTTGCTACATTTCTCGTCAATCTTTAGGCACTTCTGCAGAGCTGATTCAACCTACATCTACTCAGTACGGAACGGAACACAATTGCTCTTTGCTACTGCAAGATTGCAGGAGCTTCCAACGTACAATACCTCTCACATGAAAAAAGTACGCGGACAATACCTAAGTCAAGCGACATACCGTAACGTGGCATTCTCGCTTCAAGGTGGACGCAATTTGTACCCGAGTTTACCATTCGATTCAACTAGAAGGCGCACCTTCTGATATTTAGAGGCACCTGTTCGGAGACGGCATATGCAACGTAGGCGGCCAGATTCCAAAATGGATAGAATTTTTGCTTATGGTAGACTAGTGAACCAGTGATTAAAGATGCTAGATTGCATCTGCGCGCTTCGGGACCGCATTGCGGTTTTCGTGCTAACGATTTTCTGTATATTAGATTAGTCAGTGTGGGTAAGCACCCTAACAATGGAAAGACACAAGGAAGCAGCGGCTAATCAAAATGATCTGCATATCATTAGATGCATCCTGATGAGCTGATTCCAAATCTACATTTCTTATCTGCTAAGCGCTTCCCTAGAAGAAGCTGTGGGCGGTTAAGGTGTCAAGTTATGGGGGTTTCAATGCGTAATGTGGCTTGAAAACCAGTTTCGGAGTGAATAATTGGCGTGGCTCTAAGTGCATTGACTACAAGAAACGTATGCATACACCAAACATAAAAGTAAGTGTTTTTGAAAGAGTAGTTTTTGATGATGTGGCACTGAATGCTTGCCAAATTTCGCTATTCAAAGGCTCATAACTTCTTTTAGAGAAGCGCTCAGCAGATAAGAAAGGTCGATTTGGAATCAGCTCATCAAGACGCATTTAACGATGTGCATATCATTCAAGTTCGCCATTGCGACCTGGTACCCTTCCATTGTAAGTGACTTACCGTAGGCAAAAAATTGGAGGGATATATTGGAAGAAGCGCCTTTTTGAGTTAAATCGAATAATGCTCTTAGATTCGGATTTTGTCCACTATAAAGCGAGATATGCCCTAAGGTGATGCCAAGTAACGCAAGCCTTTTTGCAGAAATTATGATGGTAACAGTGCCTTTATGAACTAGGCGCCGCTATCGCATTTACAAAAAAAATCTGAGAAGTTATGTAGCAGAAATACACAAGATATTTTCACTATTTCTGAGTTTGCAAAGATTTTCAAATAGCGCAGATTTATTCAAAATAAAATGGAAAGAACAATTTGTACGTTATGTTTGGAAGAACCCTGCGGAGAAAGCATTATGGTGAAGTACAAATTTCAAGTTTTGAGCCACCAACTTTGATTAGCCTAGAGTAAGAGATTACAAACTGTTTGATTTCTTCCCACAGGCAAAATATAATTCAAAGCCTTAATACTCTTTTCAAAGTTCCAACATTAATCCTACAATATTGAGGGATGAGCGGCGGTTACTTGGAAATTGGCGTAAGGCAATAAACGAGCGAGAAATTGACGATCAAATAGTGCAGCTATTTCTAATACTCACTGTAGATCTTACTTTTCCAAGGAAGCGCTTGCTTGATGTTTCTGCAATATTTAGTAATTCTCCGTGCAAGAGGCCATAATCACGGAAAAATGATGGAACTATGTTCAATTCAGTAGGTAAACAATCATATAATATATTTATCTCTTACTTGTAGTCCAGCAACGAAAAGCATTCAAAAAACCGAGTAAACCACCTCGTGGATGTCTTCAAAGCTGTCACGAGCAAGCTAACCAACATAAAACAGTTTTGAAACTTACGTAAGGAGTAATTAGTCCTTATGGGGCTGTGACTTTGATTCACAGCAAGGCCAACCCTATAGATGGGAAAGCATGCATCACTAATCAACTGCGCAGTCCAAGTTTGATTTTCCACCTTTTAAATTTTAAGTTTCTTCGTTTCTTTGCTTTCAAAGCAAGAAGTCGAAAAGATCCAAGGAGACATATGGCCAAGCAAAATATAAATGACTTCTCGCTGTGCACTCAATTCAATGTGAGCAGACGAAGGACTCACATTTCAGGAAAAACTTATTGGAATTGTCTATGAATCAGCTTAGATTTGGAATAGAAAGAGTGAAAGTTGTTTTTGCTATTATCGCAAAGGTGCAAGAATCAGCAGAGTTAATTGACACGCAGTAATGATGCATGGTGGTACGTGCATTAATTGTGAAAGTATGCCATATCACTGAATTATTTGGTACTGATATGGAAAGAAAATGTTACCAATGACAAAAACTATCCTTGCATTATAAAAAATTATTTTTTGTCAGCTTTCCTATAGTTGTTTGAAAGTTTTTTCTTCGCTATTGTAAAGATTTTTTGGTTCAAAGTTTAGAAAATCGTGACAGGTTCATAATTTCAATCTGGTGAAATCCATGCGACGAGAAGTATCTGAGCTCACTATAGCACATCGAGGAGTATCAAGCTACTAGAATGGCTAAATTCGGTCGATTTAAGGGTTTGTAGAAATCTTACAAATTAATTGATGCAAGAATGTATGCTAAAATCAAAAGAGCAAAAGCAGAATCTGACTTTGTTTGAGCTACAATTTTTATTTTGATAACAAAATTTTGTAGGAAATGAATAGTGAGATATCTTTTATCAAATTTTTTCGAAGTTGGGTATAAAATGCACAATTGGTGTCCGCGCAGCAAAATGAAAATTTCCGAACATTTGCATGACCACAGGTGGTTGAATACAAATGATCTTTATTGCCCAGTAACTGGCTTCCAGCGCAAATGCCAGCGAATTCTCACATTTTTGACTGCAGCAAATCACAAACAGCGGAACACAATCTATTGTGGTTCGTCAAGTAGCCAAAGATTGTATATTTTCAACCACCAATTTGCTCGCCTATGCGCTCACTTTAGGCTGTAAACGATACTCGGAGAGTTTGAAAAGTGATTTTTATTCCAAAGAGCATAATTGTCATTTATCCATTATAGGAACTTTTGATTTTCTGATGAGTGAAGTAGAGGAGAGTAGCTATTTTTTTGACAAAATATTTTCGGCCTGAACACAGTGATTGCTATAAAGAATCATAGTTGCTTGCCAAAAGAACTTATTTACTAGTCAGCCTTATACAATTTATACAGTCACGTGTGAGTACCTTATACAGGGTGTCCCAAAAAGATGTGCACACTGTTTGATTATTGATGTTAACTCTCTTGCTTTCATGTCTTTTGCCAAGCTTGATGTTCCATTCTGTAAAGCGAGGTTCAACCTAGATTTACAGTATGGAGCGAATCACCAAACACTCTTCGTTACTAGGGTCACGGTATGAACTTTCACAGCATACAGCATCACTGTGGAATAAGCCTTCTGATGAAATAATTTCGAAAAAATCTAAAAACTTGTGTAGTAAGGTTTTCAGGCATGCTAACTTTAATATATAACTTTCCACCAGTTTTTCGAGCTTTCTTGATGGCGTATTCACATTTCTGACAAACACTAGAAAATTAGTTGTTACCCTAAATCAAAAATAACTCATGAAAGAAACGGTGACATAGTGACGTGCAGTTTGCATATTTAGAGTCATCATCTTCGAATACCCAGTCCAAAAGTTTATATTTGCTTGGCTTTCTTTCTGAGGCAAAATACCGCTTTCAATGGCTTAGAATCCTCCTGGAAATTCCTACCGTAATCCTATAGTAATGAAGAGCTGCTTATAAATCGCTCCATACTGCAAATATAAGTTGAACCTCGCTCTAAAGAATGGTATCTCAAGCTCGGCAAAAGACATGAAAGCAAGAGAGTTATCAACAATCAAAAAGTGTGCACATCTTTTTGGGACACCCTATATAATGTGAACTAAAAGTGCGAAGATAGGTTAATCAGCTCCTTAAGTACTTCTCTACGCATGAGAATTCTGACACTTTTTTGGAAAATACGTAAAAAGAGTTCAACATGCATGATGCAATAGATCGCAGAACAAATTCATACGAGAAGGCAAAAATATCACAGTCAATATATTAAGAACGTTTATTGTAAGTAGAGCCACATCTGAGACCAAAACCTGAGCAAAGTAGCAGTGCTTCATATTATTAGCATATAAAATAATACTTGAAAATACAAAATGCTCCGAACCCGCGCTAAACAGTGCTAAGTTAATACATGCGATATCAGGTTCAAACTTTCAATCATCAGTCTTTCATCAAGCAAAAAATGACTAAGACAAAGTGGTTGCCTCTACCTATTCTAGTTAGAAACAGAAAGTCGAGTAAAAAGGTTAGTGATAAACCGTGAGCTTTCAAAAATTTCTAGAGTGCAAATTATTTGACCCTGAGATTTCAAGAGTTTTGCCGCCCCAAGACTTGATGATTGATTTTCCATACCACAAAGTTTCCAGAGGAGACCAGAAATAGACTAAGGCGATCAGTGTCCCCTACAGCAATGACGAAGTCGCGCGCGAAAAAGAATGTACTTTCAGGTATCAAAAAAAGGACCTTACTTTGTAGACTGTGGGCAACATCTGTAGTTAGCACGCCAGATAAGCTCCATACCCAAAGTTCTGAGTGAATTCGAAGTGCTTGAATTTTGTCGTTTGAGAGGGACTTTCGTGCTTTCTTGAAAGATAGGAACAAGAACTTGGTTTCTATAGTAATTAAAAGTATCTATGTTGTACACGGTACGCACCATCACTGAAACTACGGTTTTTTTCTTTGAAATCAAAGCAAGGGAAAGATGCCAGGTCGCACGCATCGTTCGCGCTGCGCACTTCATTGCAAATGTTGTTCGATTTGTGCTCATATCT